CCTTAAGCAACCTAAACCTATTCAGATATTCGTCTATAGGCTCAGTGAAACGTCTCTTCACACTCGCCAGTTCTTTCAGGCTTATCTTGGTTTGCCCCATGTAGAATTGTTCATGGAACAATCTTTCCAACTGGGTCCAATGATGGATCGAATTGGGGGGGAGAGTTGTAAACCAAGTAAAAGCGTTCTTGGTTAAAGAACTTGGGAAGTATTTGATCCTTAGGTTTTCGTTATTCGAAATGTCTCCTGCTTCGATCAAATATCTTGCCACATGCTCGACAGTAGATTCTGTCGTGTCCCCAGAAAACTTAGTAAATTTGGGGACTTTGCTCCTAGGAGGTAAATCCGTTTGCAATACGTATTCTGACAATGGAGATGTAAAGTTGGGCCTTCGAAAGCCCATGTTCATCCCATTCTGATTCATGATCCTTTCGATCATGGTTGCCAGATTATTTTCCAAACCCATGTTTTGGTGTTGGATATGCTGAACCACTTCGTCAGCATTTTGGTTTCTGTTAACCAACCTTACCTCCGGGGCTATTACCCTAGGTTCTTCGACAGGTTGTTCTACAGGCTGTTGAGCCTGATTAATGGTGGTTTCTTCCTCTACAAATATCCCCTGATTTCCTCTTGTTTGCGCCCTTTGGGGCTGTCGAATAGGTGGGGGTACTCCAAAGAAGTCAGCCAAACGCGTCATTTGCGCTGTAACTTGCTGATTCGATTGAGTAGTATTTTGTATTAGAGGATTTAGCACTGTACTCAAAGTTTGTGCCAACATTTGCACCATATCATGGTTGCTTTCGTCCATCTGTTGCCTCAAGACTGCTGTCGAGGCGTTTGTAAGGCCATGGGCTATTTGGGACGTTCCTCCTAAGAGTTGGGTCCTATTTCTATTCGCCATGCCTACTCCAGAGCCTTGGAGTGGCGAAGAGGCACTCACGAAAGGGTCTGAATAAGTGGACGCAGCATTCGTCAGGGTTGCCACTTCAGAAGTTGGCATACCATAGAATGGAATAAATCCTGGGGGAACCACAGGCCTTGTGCCTATATTTCCCCTTGGAGGGGGAGTTCCCAAAGGTATTCTGGGGCCTGAAAACGAAGTTATTGGCCCCGTGGTTGTGACTGACACTGCTGGTGTCGAACCAACATTCGTCGCTTCACTAACGGTCATATTAACCGTTGCTCCCACACTTGGTGGTGGAATTTCATTATTGTTTGGCGGATTCGCCATCTCTTCCCTTCTTCTGGCAGTATTGTTATCGTTGGTATATATTCTACCACTCCTCAATAACATACAAATCGAAAAGATGAGATTATTTTCAACAATCAACACACAGTCCCACTAGGTGTGCCAATTTGTTTACCTTGGGTTTTGGTAAACAACCGCTGATCCTCCAAATGGTTACTTATTTGGTTACTCGCAGGATCGATCAGATTGATCCTATGGACATAGGTTGATTTTGAAGTTTGATTAAGGTGGATAAGGCTTTAAGTAAAATGTTTCAAGTAAATTGCATAAAGGAAAAGCTTGGTAAAATAAACAAGGCTTTAAAGTAAAGGTTCGACAGGAATCTTAAAGGAGAAAAGCAAGTAAAATACTGGAAAGGTAAATGACTTTAATTGATAAAAATTGGTGTTTCACACATACATTTCTCAACAATTCTTTCGCTCACACTGAGTACTTGAATCTAAATGAGTGACTATGTATATGATTGTGAACACACGCGAGAAACTACATGTCTACTCCTATTTATACTAAAACATTCCAAGTAACCGTCGGGCAGTTACACTGCTTCGAGATTAAGCCACTTGGCACGTCCTCCATGCTCGACGCTCCAGATCCTTGCACGTTTGCACGTAGTAACTGCTGGAAACCGTTTTCCCTCCAAAGCTTTGAATTTCAAACTGCCCCACTCTGGACCATCGAACACGTTCGTCAAGAGACATCTTCGACGACTACTCCTTCGACGTCGAAGGCAATCAGCCTTCTTCCTTGGAAGAAATCTTCTAAGTATTTTGCCATCTTTCGACGGGCACTTCGACAGGCTTAGCCAGTCGAAAGCATCTTTCAGCTTTTAATGGCTGCCATCAATCAAAACAAAGGTGTCGAATTTAGGAGCCAACAGTATGTCAAGCAACTTGGATGGTGAACTTGGTCGAAGAGATAACAGAAAAAGACCATGGAGCAATTACCATGAAGATCGATAGCATGTCAGCTATCAATCTGGCGAAGAACCCAATAGCACATGGTCAAAACAAGCACATCGAAATGAGGTTCCACTATCTTCGAGAGCAGGTAGTAGATGGGAAGATGAATTTGGAACACTGCAGAACTGAGAATCATATTGCAGACATCATGACGAAGGGAGTACATGTCGAAGTATTCAGAAGATTAAGAACCATAATGAATATAGATAGTTTAGATACAATGAATTAGGTGGTGTGTTAAATTGTAATTCGATTGTATCAAAACAGTGTGTGTGTGTCGATGGGAGGTTTCTCAGTCGAAGAACTTGTGGATCGAAGCAAACTACACACAAATTTGATCGGTTTTAGATTTAGATAAATTTAATTTAGATCTAAAATAGATAAATTTGATTTAATACTAAAATAGGTATTTTGGGCTTTTATAGTTTTGGGCTTTGGCTTAGAGAGCAAACTGACCTAAATTATAAATAGAGGGCATAACACCTAATTTTGTAATTAAGTCAATTCATTGTAATCACGGAATTTGCAGTTGCAAGTGATTAATAAAGTTTTCCACAGTTTGTGGGCAGAGAGAAACTCTATAGAAAATAATTGTCTTCTTTCTTTTCTTTTCTTTTCTCATAATTCATTGTCATTGTGTGGTGATATCAATCTTGTTCATCAAGATTGGTAGAAATTTATCATAGATATTTGGTGGATTTCCAACATCATGTTGGTAGGAAGCTCTTTAAACATCGACATAATCTCACAACTCATTTTGCATCAATGTCCATGTGTTAATATGATAGCAATAACACGTCCTTTTCCATGACATCAGAAATGTCATGAGAATACAATTCTCAATTTTTCAGATAAGATCATTCCATCTCATAGTGAGAGAGACATTGCTAGAATTTAAATCAGAGCTCTTCTCTGACGCTGCTCCATCATGACACTTATACTTAATATGTTTAATCTTTCCATATTTCCAACATCTCAATCTCGTTTCATTGTTTTTCTTCACATAAGACCTTCCTCTAGCAACCAACATTGTGTTTGGTGAAGTATTATCCCCACTTTTCAATCTTATTTCTTCAGAAATAATTTTACTAGCAACTTCTTCAAAACTCAAAGTTCCCTTCCCATATATCTAAACAAGTTTAATATGCTCATAGGAAGATGGAAGAGACCATATGAGCCTCAAAGCTTTATCTTCATCATCAATCTTGACTCCAATAGTTTCTAATTCATAAACAATACCATTTAGAATACTTAGATGATCAGATACTTTTGTATGCTCATCCATACGCAAGCTATGAAACTGCTCTTTCAACAATAAACGATTTGATATACTCTTTCCTTGATATGACCCTTCAAGTTTATTCCAAAGTTCTTTGACTGACGATGTACCAAGAGCATTCGCAAGAATATTCTTAGCCAAAGACATGCGGATTATACTCAAAGCTCCTAAATCTAGTTCCTCCCACTTCTTGTTGTCCATTTTGGAAACGTTTCCTTTCAATGCCTTGTGTAATCCTAATTGTATCAAATTATCTTGGACTTGAATATTCCACATGACAAAATTGATTCTTCCATCAAATTTTTCTAAATCAATTTTCAGTGCACTTGAAAAACTTGACATTGCAACCAAAACCTTTCCTGCAGCAAACCAAAATTATCTCAACTAACACAGAGTATAAAATTTCTTTTCTAATGTGGAAGATCAGACAAAACTGCAACCACAAAGCATACTAAAATTTATACCCCATCCAACCAAGGCTCTTGATACCACTTGTTAGGAAAAAATAAATCATAGAGAAAAAAAAGGAACAAAATAACAACACAAGAGATTAGCGTGGAAACTCCAAAATCGAAGAAAAATCACGACCATTATCAAATGACAACCAGAGAATATTACTATGTGAAAATTGTTACAACATATAGACTACCCTCAAACACCCCAAGATTCCAATACACCCATACTCTCTAAAGCAAATATTCAACTATCACTCACAACACTCTAAAACAAGAGTATAAGAGAAAAAGTCAAATACAAGTTTAAAGTATTTTTGACTGGTACCTTAGTAAAGAAAAACGTGAATCCTATATATAGCCCTAGACTCCCTCTTTATTCAGTAAACTAAGCAATGTGGAACTTGAAAAACTTTAATTCTATATATAGTCTTGAACTTCATCTTCCTTTACAAAATTAAGCAATGTGGGATTCAACAATATATATATTTTCAATCAACCATAATAAAATATTCTCAATGTACGAAGCATGACAATACAATAGCTATTAAACACACTAATCAATTACTTAAAGAGAAGTTTTCTTCACATTGTTTATTTGAGATTAAAACTATAAAATATCTCCAAAATGTAAATAAGAGCCGATTGTTCGATTTTGCTAGAAAATTTAAATGATTGTAATGCAATTCTATGATATTGAGCAAAAATACTTAGGTATAATAAACTTTATCATAAATAGAAGACAAGTATAAAATAAATTGCGTCACTATTTTTTTTATAACAAAATTAATTCTCTTAAAAATTATATTTATCAATCGAAAAATAAAACATTACTCTATATAATTGTTTGAACTCTCAATAAAAGATTTACCGTTTGTTTCTGATTCTAGGAAACTAAAAGTATATATCATTGATTTCAAGTGATTCTAGGAAACTAAAAGTATATATCATTGATTTCAAGTGAAATCAGTTTAGATCAGTACCAAAAAAAAGCTTTGCTTATTAATTGATACATATATTTTGGCTCCAAAGATGAATAAATAGAAAAAGAAAAACTATGCTCATTGGGGTGGTTTGCTACATGGGACCTCTGTTTTTATTTCTGCACATTCTTTGTATGGTTGAATAGGTAAGGAATTGTGATTTTGAGTGATCCCTTCTTTGCTTTTTGCCCACAAAACAGTGTACAAACTTAAAACCAGCAAAATTCCACCAAAAACACTGGAAAACAAACAAGCCGGATAAGTGTATAAACATCAGGATAATAGAAGTTATATATGTAGTTTATAAATTTGGTTTAACAAAATAGAACTCTTTGATAAATGTGTGAATTTAATGGAAATGTCTTTTATTTCACCCATAATTAAGTTATGTCAAAATTTATCATTAGCTATTGATAATAAATTTAGAGTTATGATCCAAGACATGTAAGATGTCAAAGCTTGACATTTTTTTTTAGGTGAATATGTATTTAATTTTGAGTTTATGAACATACATGTGGATGATTTGAATTATGATATAAATTTTTTATGTTTTATCACTATATTGGTGTTTGTATGGAGTAAGGTGTTTCAAATGCTATTTATTTTGTGGTTAATATCTATTCTAAGAGTGCTTTGACAAATAAAATGAAAATGTGAGTTGATCTTTGTCTTAGTAAAGAAAACATGGGATGAGATCTAGTGTGTTTTTGATGATTTCAATTATGGCTGCTCTTCTGGAAAAAGGTAAGGGGGAAGTGGTTCCTCTAGTCCTTCTAAGAGTAATAAGTGTTTGGTTTTTACCAATTTTATTTTTCATTGGGGTGTGATGACCTAGTGGGCCCTTAGTAGTTATGTCTCTCATCACAACTATGTCATTCTTAAGTATTCTAATTAAGTGTAGGGTCACATGCCTTTTAGTTTTAATAGCCAGTGATTATCTCATTCTAGTCTCTATGAATTTGTTCATTTTTCAGGTTTGATTATTCAATCTATGGTTGAAAAACTTTTGTTATTTTGGATACGTTCAAATATCTAAAATCGATCTTAAAAGTATTAAATAAATAGATTTTTGGAAATTTTAGTTTTTAGATTGAGTCTTGAAGAGACATGGTGAGGAGTTTAGACTTGACTCACCAGAGGAGTTTATCCTATGAGGAGATCGAGGTTAGTATGGAGCCATTGTGGATATTTGTTCATTGTTAAAGGTCACAGATTTTCAATTGTTTCAAAGATCTAGGAAGGTGATACTAGCTCTGAATTTTTTGACGCCATTGTCAAAAGTAGGAGTAAGATGAATGTTATCTTAGTCCTTAAGATTGATGATGGGTTGGTTCAAGGGGTGTCTGAGATTCCACAAGGATTTTTTAATTATTTTATGATCTCTTTAAATATTTTAGCATGGATAGTCCACACTTTGATAATGTTGTTTTTTGTTCTCTTTCGAAAGAGAATAATCTTGCCCTGAACGTCCCCTTTCTTCTTCAAGAGATAAAAGTGGTTGTGGGCTAGTGTAATGACAATAAGACTCCTGGTTTTGATGGTTATGATTTCTTCTTTATGAGAAGGTTTAAGAACTTTTTATGGGAAGATATATGAGTTATGTTTAACCAATTTCATTGTTTTGCAACGTTACCTTATAGTTTTGTATCCCTCCTATTTTGTGATTTTGATCTCTAATGTTAAGTCTCCTTATCAGTTGAATGATTTTAGACTTATTTCTCTCGTTGGAAATTTATATAAGTTGGTTTTTAAAGTGTTTGCAACTAGACTTAGGTTGGTGATGAATAAGCTTATTTCTTTAAATCAATTGACATTCCTAAATGGTAGGTTGTTGGTTGATGGTGTGGTAGTTGCTAATGAGGTGATTGACTTAGCATACATATTTAAAAATCTTGTCTCGTTTTTAAGGTTTATTTTGAGAAAATATATTATTAAGTTAGTTGGGAGTTTTTGGACTATATGCTTACGAGTTTAATTATAAGTGGGGGAGATCTTGGGTGAGAGCTTGCGTGTTTGTCGAAAATCATGAGGTGTTACTAAATGGTTACCTAATCTTAGAGATTAGTATCCAAAGAAGTTTAAAACAAGGTGTCTCTCTAACTCCTTTTCTTTTCCTACTTCTGGCATAAGGTCTTAGTTAGTGATTGGTCAATATGGTTGTTGAGTTTGATATATATTTTTGCAGATTTAGAGTAGAATCCTCTAATTTTGTGGTATCTCATCTTTATTATATGAATGATACTCTTATCTTGGCCGATGCATCGGTTGAAAATTTATTGTGTATTTATGCTATTCTAAAGAGTTTTAAGTTGATGCACGGCTTTCAAGTTAATTTCTATAAGAGTATTTTAATAGTGATTAATTTAGATCTACTGTTTTACACTCGATAAGTGATTTTCTCCCGTGTAAGCTAAAATCCCTTCCATTTAAGTACCCACAGTTGCCCGTGGGGGCTGATCCTCGCATTGAATCCACTTGGGACTCTTTAGTTAGCCTATTGTCCAAGAGGCTCAATTCTTTGAAGAATAGGTATGTCAGCTAGTTAGGTTGAGTGATCTTACTTAATTATTAAACATTATGTGTTTAATGTTATCCCAATATTTTTTCTGTTTTTCTTTTAAATGTATGTGAAGGTTTGGATGAAGATTGTTAGGATCCAACAACAGTTCTTTTAAAAAGGTGTGAAAGGAAATTCTAAGATATAGTAGGAAGTGTTGGAGCAAAATGATGAACTTTATGATGAAAAAGAATGAAGTTAATGAGTTTTGGAAGATAATTTTTTTAGAGTTATGATTGCAACTCACCTTCCTAAATATAGTGGCTCTTCCAATAGTAACACAGAACCAATTGTGGCAATAATAAAACTAAGTGGGTTCCAAGTTGCTGGAAAAACTGGTCCTTTCTTCTCAATCACCAAAGCTTGCAAATAGTAGGCAACTGCAGTCACTAGTATCCCCTATTACATTAAAAATAATATATACATCATAATCATCAAATTTTATTATTTTTCCTAATTATTTTTCAATAAATTTTAGTGGAAAATAATTTCAAAATTTACTAAAATTCTTGCGAGCATCAAAATAGAATATTACTTACACAATAAACAACAGCTAATAGTCTCATGTTCCAACCTAACTTCCATTGTTCAATATCTCTTTCAAAAGCAATGGCAATGCCAAATGACTGAATTGCACTTGATACACTCTGAATGCTCATGAATGTTAGCTTTGAAGGGTAACTTTTCAACAACTGAGACTGTTTTCATTAGAGGAAAAAAAAAAAGATCATTATAAATATTCTATGATTGCATCATATAATAATAAACAAACAAAAAAGAAAGTTATTCAAAGGAAAAAGATATACTTCATAAAAGAATATCACCTGAAGTACAAGCCACAAGCTCCACATGATGGTGGATAAGAACAAGAGTAAAGAACCCAAGATCCATTTATTATTATATGAAAAATGATTGTTATGTTGTCGATCATTGCGATGATGATGCAATTGGGGTCCCTTGTAAAATGCCAATATTGATACACCACCCATGCACAATAATACACTTCCTATCTTCACAATTCCAGATTTTGTCCTTAAATTTACTTTCTCTACTCTACAATATATCATGAGTAACTCATAATTATATAAATATTACCATCTAAAAATTATACAGAACAAGAAATAACAGACAAACAGACAAAAAATTTACCTTAACAGAACGGCGAAGAAGAATGTAGAAGCTGGAAGACAGTTAACTATTGCAGCAGCCAACATAGCATAAGTATAAGCAAGAGCAATACCATGAACATTCAAAGTTAAAGTAAGTCTGAAAAACAACCAAGTAGGGTTATAAACCTAAATAATTATAAAATTCTTTGTCGAAATAAAATTGGTTAAAAAATAACATAGATTAGAGAAAAGTAATGTAGTACCCCAATAATGAAAGCATGAAAATCTTGAAGATAGTCATAAACGAGAACGTCACTGGCACTGCCTGTTTTCTAAACCATATAACAAAATATATTATGATAGGAAAAATCAAATTAAATATAAGCTAAAAAAATAATAAAATAATTTTAAATATTACCGTCCAAATATCAAAGACAAAGCAACCATGATAATGGCTCCAACAAATTGTCTATAGAAGACAAACACACATGTTTTCATTCCTCCATTGAACACGGATTTAGATAGCAAAGTCATACCAGAATATATTAATTGTATCAAAAACATTGCAAAATATGGAAATAATTGTTCACCCATATTTGATGATAGCAAAAACATATGTATATATATAAATGACCTATTGATTATTGATTACAACTTATGAATGATGTTCAGCTATATCAAGTCCATATATAGAGTTTTAGATTTATTGTTTAGTGCATGAGAAATATGGGTAAATATTTATTTATGCCTTTGATGAAATCACAGGTTGATTAGAAATCTCAGTGGTGTATCTATTCTCATAGCACTTTTATTTTTTTATTAATTATTTCATATAGCATCTAATCTTTCGGTTTTTTTGGGGAAAGTAATAATTTAATACACACAACTGGTAACATTCCTTAATTATTTCGTTGGAAGGAATTGTAGTTATTTGTGCCTTTTTTGTTTTGTGTTTCTTACCTTTTATTTAGTTGAAAAAATATATGTTGCTTAGTTTAAAAGAAAAATGACTAAATCATGTGAGTATACTGAATAAATTTAGTGGAATCCGTATAAATATCAATTAATAAAAAATTGTGTTGAAAAGAATAATCGTTAGCTTTATTAATAATAAATAGCCCATATAAGAATTCAAAAGAAAAATATTAGAATTTTTTTTTACAATAACTATGTATTAAAATAATATTTCGCAAATAATCGGGTTTCGGAAAAAATTACGCAAATAACCATGTTTCAGATGACTCCCCAAAGGAGGAGCCATCTGAATTGGCGCATCCACCCATACTTTTGCCCTAGGCGCCATCTCACTTGGCGCCTCCCTTCACTTTTAGTCAAGTGAGATGGCGCATGCTCCTTAAAAGTGAGAGGAGGCGCCATTTCACTTGGCTCCTAGGGCAAAACTAGGGCAGAATGCTGTTTTATAAATAATTTGTCCGTTTCTCCGAAATTTCGCATACTTTCTCGCATTGTATTTTTATTTTTTACTCTGTTATTTGCGTCATGACGTCACCCATGATTTTTAGCAGAGATGGTTACGTTATCTTCTCCGTCACGAAACCTGCGATGAAAATAAAATTCTGGCACAATCACTCCATGGAGCGTCTGAAGCGGGAGTTGATGCGATGGCTAGATGGAGACATTGCGGAGGGGGGAAAATTCGAAGGATCCAGCGAAAACGAACAACAACCTCACATGCGACAGGAAGACCTAATGTATGGTTGGAGGAAGTCAAAACAGACAGCGATGTAATGTTGATGATGCATGGGTCAGATGAAATTGTGTTAACAGTTGTAATTTCGTAGACGGAATATCGTTAATTTTTCTTGTACGCGTTTTATTAATTGTAGCAAAATCTGTTAACGGAAAATCCTAATATTTACAACACAATTAAGGAAAGATTTTATGTATTACAATTTTTATGTGGTCGAGGCAGACGCCCGATTCGGATAATTTTTGCGATTGTGTCCGACCTGACGGCATAAACCACACTTTCTTTCCAACTTGTCAAGATCGTCCATTTCTGTTGTGATGCGCTTAATTTTGGGACGACCCTTCTTGTTCCTTCGCATTTGGTCATTGTGCCACACTATTTCGCCATCGTATGCAGGTCAATAATCTGGTTTTGCTACCAAAGGAAAATTGTTGTTGTAAACGTTGAGCAAAGTTTCAGATTTGTAAATGTTTGACAGAAGTTGCAACGCGTCTTGATGGGTATGAGCACAAGCGGCAATGACATGAGAGCAAGGCACAATCACCACCTCACTACCAATACCCCGATATGCCTCACACCCAACCACAATACCAACACACCCGCATACCCCACACACATTTTCAGTCTTCCGTATATCCCAATATGGGCCCCTCAACATCCAGCCTTAGCCCTGATATGGGAATATCGGAAGATTACGAACAAACCGACTCAGCTTACCATCAACCACAATATCACCAAACCACCCAACATCCTCAATACCAAACACCCCAAGATCCATTTTATTTCTACCCACTGTACTCAGACGATCAATGCTACAGACCCACCATGGAACCCCACCCACCGCCAACACGACCAAACTTTGAGGGTATGGGTAACCGAGTGTACCAAAGCGGATCTTCTAGATATGGAGATCTGACTGATTTTATGGATCTGGACCGCATTGACTTCGCTGGGCCATCGACCCTGCCACAGCAGGAAACGCAACGACATCCAGCACGGGAAAGACGAGGACGGGGATGCGGAACCGGTGGTCATTACCGATGTTGTACCCCAAAATTTGCCCTCGCATTTTTCTCAAGAAATCACAGCTTCAGGCTTTTCCTGATCTTTCAAACTGGCTCGAGAATCGGTCAAACGGACTTTTCTCGTCAGTCAGACGCAATTAGGGTTTTATTGATTTTTCAGGGCTTTGGAATGTTTCAAACAGTTGGTTTAAGGTTTTGGTTGATTTTGGCTCAACTTTGATCAGGCGAACGCTCTTTGGCATTTAATCAGGAATTAGGGTTTTTGGGCACGTTCTCAGAAGGATTTAAATTCTACAGCACTTTGCGAGTTATTCCGAGATTTGGGTTGGGTTCGCATTATTTGACTTAATCAGTAAAAAGACTGCATTTGAGTTGAATTCACATTGGTTTGTTTGAGCCAGTCAAAAGATCCATGCAATTTGGATTTACAGTGTTTGATAAAAAATCAGGGAAAAGGGAATGCGCCTGATTAGTTTATTTTGGTTAACTGTGGCTTTGCTTTGGATATTGGAAAGGCCAGGTTTAACTGATCAATTATTAAAGCATTGTTTATTTAAATTATTTATTATTCTAAATTAAGTGATTGAAATTTATTTTTCGATTATTTTAATTCAAAGAGTTTTAAATAATAAATAAACAATAAAGAAGGAAATAGAATTGATTGGATAATAAAGACTTTTATTTATTCTTGAATTATTTGTACAATTATTGTTTATAATTTAATTACAAGCAATGATTTTACATTAATTTAAATTTAAATAGAAAAAGAAAACTATCCTATTTTTTCTAATTCTTCATTCTTCATTTAGTACCCCTCTCCATCCAAATGTTCATCTGCAAAAGAAAAGGAGAAAAGTCAATGACTGATAAATAAATAAAGAGACAAATAAAAGAAATTCATCATTAAGGGCCACTGATTGGGATCAGTTAACCCTCTCTGCAAATCACGGGATTTCTCCCGGTTCACAAAGAGGGACGAGTTTATTTGTTAAAATTGAATGCACAAGTTTAAAAAATGCACAATTCAAAAATTGTCAAAATTGCATAAGTTCAAATCTCAAACAACATGTTACAAAGCAAACAGCAAGTCCAAACCAAAGGGTCCAAACTCAACTTTCTGCCAAAAATATAAAGCAACTGTCACAAAGATATCAAGCTGTCAAAAGAAGATTTTGGAAAGATATCAAGCTGTCAAAGAGAAGAGACAAATATGCAGAGAAAATTGGATATGCAAGCAACTACACTCATTTTCATCATTTCCCCAAGTAGCCCTTTCAGAAAGTACACACAAAAACATTTTAATATTCTTTGAAGTGTACTGGAGAGAGAAGAGGAGAGAAAAGAAAGCAGGTTTTTAGGCTTTAGGCAGGAAGATAGAAAGATATAAAATACAAAAAGCTAAACACAGTATAGGAAGGAAAACAAAAAACCAACACCAAGAAAAGATACAAACTGATAAGCCTCCCAACCTTAAACCTGAAGCAAGTCACAAGCATAAACCTGCAATGGCCTAATAAACCAGACAACCTGCATATGCCAAACCTGCCTGAAGCAAGTCAGGAGCCTCACCCCGCCTGAAGCCTAACAGAAGCCAGAGCATCAGTCCAAACCTTAAGCCAACACATAACCTGATACCATGTCAAACAAAATATACCAAAACTGTCCAAGATGAGGACCAACAATCCAAAAACACAATAACCTGTAAGCCATCAACCTGATGCATCAAAGCTGAAGCACCAAACCTGCTAAAGCTCAAAATCTGCCTATCATCAAACTCAACTTCACAAGCCAAAAACCTGTGGAACCTGAACCAAATCCAAAGACATCCAAACACTCACCCTGAAACCTTAGCCTAACCATAAACCAGTGAAGCCTGAAGCCTCAAAGCATACCTGCCTAAACCTGAAGCATCAAATATGCCAAAGACCTCAAACCTGCCTAAGCATCAGAGTTGCCTAAGCATGAATCTGTAAAGGCCATAAACCATTCAAAACCCTGTCCTGCCTATAATCAAACTCAAGGCCACCAAACGCATACTCAGTATCAATACACAAGGCCCTCAGGATGCCATCATTGGGCCGGCAACCAACATTCCAAAAACAATAAACATTCCAAAGGCAACCAACAAGAAATACATTCAAGGCAGGCCCTTAGAAAAACATCATCACAGGGCAATCGAAAAGCAAGCAATATAAGCATACGAGCAAAGTAGGCAACTATCAAGCTCAACAGTTTCAAAGGCAAATTCGAGGCAAAAGAGAAGAAGAAAGTAAAAGGAAGCGAATCAAAAGGCAACACAGGCATCAATCTCAGAAGGCAACTCAAAGCAAAGTATCAAGGCAACAAACATTCAAAAGCATACCAAACTCAGAGGCGACATAAGTGAGCAACATAAGCAACGGGTACACAGGGAGAGAAGAAGAAAGAAGTGAATTTTCAAAAAAAGAAGGGTTTTCAGTCAGTTCATCATAAAACCCTCAAATGGCAAGAAGATAAAGAGTATAGAAATACCAGGTTCACCAAAAAGCCAATCTCATCGCGCAAACCCTCCGCTCGTCAAGCCTCCAACTGCCTCCTTCCTCCTCCTTCGCAAAGGTAAAATCTCTTTCATTCTTTCTTCAAAACCTCGCGTAAATCAGTAAACGAAAATCAAATAAGTATAAAACCATGGCATGCAAGATGAAAAGAAATTCGGAATGAGAATGAAAACAAACTTCTGTACCTGACGTGAGTGACTCATGGAGGAGGGTAGACGGAGGAGGAGATGGCACGGTGGCTCTGGGCGGAGGTCTGCATTTCAGCGTTCAAGACGATCGGAGAAGATGAGCAAAAACGAGCAAACGGCGCTTCGACCTCAC